GAAAGAAGGGGATGCCAATACCAACTTCTTTCATTCATATGTTAATATTAGAAGAAGGATGCAACACTTATCTTCTATCAAAGATGCTGCAGGAAATCTGTGCACTGAACCTCATTCTATTGCTAAAGCTGCAGAGGAATATTTTGCAGACATTTTTGCTTATGAACCAGTTCAAGATATAGATGAAATCCTGCAATATATACCAAAATTAGTAACTGATACTGACAATGACATGCTTATGAATATGCCTAACATGGATGAGGTTAAGGAGGCTGTATGGGATTTAAACAAAGAAAGTGCAGCTGGCCCAGATGGATTCAATGGTGTTTTTTATAGGAAGTGCTGGGATATTATAGGGAATGATGTGCTTAAAGTTGTTCAAGACTTCTTTATAAACAATCATATTCCTACAGCAATGGCTAGCTCACTTATTATCCTTATCCCTAAAGGTGATAAAGTTTCAAGTTTTGCAGATTTCAGACCTATTAGTTTGTCTAATTACATGAGCAAGGTGTGTACAAAGATTGTGGCCTCTAGAATCAGCACACTACTCCCTAAATTGATATCTATAGAACAGGCTGGATTCATGCAGGGTAGGGATATTTCTGATCATATCCTTGTGGCTCAGGAAATGATCAACTCTATTGACAAAAAAATCAGGGGTACCAATATTGTTGTTAAACTTGATATGGCAAAAGCCTTTGATAGGCTTTCATGGATCTTTCTGGAAAAAATGCTATCCAAATTTGGGTTTAATGGAAATTTTACAAGGCTAGTTATGAATCATCTTCAAGCTACTCATTTTTCTATCCTTATTAATGGCTCACCAACTGGTTTCTTCAAGCCCTACAGAGGAGTTAAACAAGGAGACCCACTATCCTCATTCCTTTTTATTTTGGCTGCAGAGGCTTTTTCTAGGGGCCTAAAAGAACTTATATCTTCAGCTGCTATCAAACCATATTGGATTGGTAAAGATGGACAGTCAGTCTCTCATCTATGTTTTGCAGATGACATTCTAATTTTTATTAATGGTGAAGCTAGATCTATTCAGAATTTTAACAGATTTCTTGGTTTGTTTCAAAGAGCATCTGGACAATCTGTTAATCTTAACAAAAGCAGTTTTACCTGTGGAAAAACCTCACTGGGAAGAGTGAGAAAACTTGAAAAGCTGTTGGGGATGAACAAAGTCAACTTGCCAATGAAATATCTGGGAGCCACCCTGCATAAAGGTATAAACAGAATTAGATACTGTAATGGTATTATTCAGGCCTTTGATAGAAAGTTATCACATTGGAAAAAGAAGCATCTAAATATGGGGGGGAGAGTAATTTTAGTTAAACATGTATTGAATACAATTCCCTTATATATAATGGCTGTGGACACTCTTCCCAAATCTGTGGTTAGGGTATTGGAAAGGAAAATGGCCCAGTTTGTGTGGGGATCTAATAATTCCAAAAACAAGTATCATTGGATAAATTGGAGGGATATTTGTTTTCCTACTGAAGAAGGAGGATTAGGAGTCAGATATTTGATGGATTTAGAGAAAGCTTATTCTCTAAAAATATGGTGGAAATGGAAGAATAACAGCACTCCTTGGGCAAATTTTTGCAATTTAAGATACCCTAGAGACAGTAATATGAACCCTAAGACAAATGATTCCAATATTTGGAAGAGAATTTGTGGGATTAACTCTATGGGGTTACAGCAAATTGAGTTGGAATCAGATGGGAGAGTGATTTGGTTACCTGACAAATCTGGTGATTTCACCCTATCTTCTGCCTATCAGGTAGTCAGAGGGAGGAAAAGTAAATGCTTCTCTTATCAACATGCCTGGCATAAACATCAGGTTAAACAAATTCAAATTTTTCAGTGGAAGATGCTTCACAGGATACTACCATTTCCTGATAATATTAGTAGGTTTGGAGTGACTATCTTCCCTACTATGTGCCCTATGTGTAAAAGAGATATGGATACAATGGACCATGCACTTTATAATTGTTCATACTCTAGACAGATTTGGAAATATTTTATGGGTTTATTTGAAATTCCATATTATACAAATTACATCACTACTAGACAGGTTTTTATTGCATGGTGGCTAGAAGCAGGATCAAAATCCCTTATGGATATATTCAGACACAATATGCCTGGAATTGTTGGATGGCATATTTGGAAGATTTATACTAAACTTATTTGGGGGGATCTGGCAGGTATGCCACCAGTACATAAGATAATTTTTCAGATAAAGAAATATACCCAGGATTGGTATTTGGCGAGATTACAGAAAGTTAAATTTGGTAGAAGACCAAACCCGACTCTTGTTGAGGAATCTATCATTCCGGTGATTCAAACTAGCAAACCAAAGATACAGATTATTAGATGGAAAATACCTGAGAAGAAATACAAAATGAATGTTGATGCTTCGTATGGAGAGGAAACGGCCGGAGGTGCGATTGTACGAACGAACACAGGTGACCTTGTTGTTGCTCTTCACTTTCCTATTTCAGCGAAATCTGCCTTTCAAGCTGAAACGAATGCTATAAGGGAAGCGATCTCGTGGGCAATGAAACATGGGATAGACGATTTGGAGGTGGAATCGGATTCTAGAGAGGCGATTGAGGCTATCAGAAATGAAGAAAGATTTTGGTGTAGCAGTGATACGAAGGAGTTGGGAAGATGGATGGTCGAGGGTAAAATTACGCTCAGACATGTGATGCGGGAAGCAAATTGGCCAGCTCATTATGTGTCTAAATTAAATTTGAAGGCTCTTACTGTTATTTCTAAATTAAGGGATTTGCCATGTTATATTAGGAGATCCTTAATTGCAGATAAGCTACAATTAAGTTATCTTAGATTTAATTAATGTTTTCAATTTCTGATTGCTTTTTATTTCATGTATTTTAAAGAGGAATGCCTCTTTAGGGGAGGTCTTGGCCTAGTCCCCCTCCCCTTTTGTACTTTACTTTCATTTTAATAAAAACTGGCAAATGTTCCCCGGCATTTGCCCCACTGATTTTGGTGGTTTACCTTCCGGGTTCAAAAAAAAAAAAAAAAGTTGTCCGACAAGACATTTGAGTTGTCTATCAATTTATTTTAAATTGTTGAAAATTGTTTTGTAGTTGTCTGTCAGGTAAAATTAGTTGTCTGTCATTTGAAGTATTGAAAAGACTTCAATGACTTGGAGTTGTCTGTCAATTTATTTTGAATTGTTTAAAATTTGTTTATAGTTGTCTGTCATGTGAAAGTAGTTGTTTGGCAAGGCATTGATGAGTTTAGTAAAACTGTATTTTCTAGTACATTTTGATGAGTTTAGTAATTGTTAATGTGGTTATATAAAAGTGTTCGAAAATATGATTGTATTTGTTAATGTACACCCCATTGAATAGATAAACAACAGAGATAACCAGATAAACATTACTTTCACGCAGAAAGACAATAACTTTCAACATTGAACATGTAACATTGTACAATATTCAACACATTTTCCCAATTGTATATGAAAAAATTACATGTTCAAAAAATCACAAGTTCAAAACGGACACATTTTCCAACACTTTATACTTCAGCATTCTTCAAGACTAGTGCATATAATCTCTTGCAAAAGAAGTCACATGGTATCATTTTTGTAAATGAATTAGCGTTCGCTCGGAACTGTTTTTCAGCCTTGCATTTTAAGTCATTCGTCAGCTTGAAGTGAATACCTACGATTAATACACAACACGTAGTCAGAACACATATTTGGCACAAATAACATATGTGGGGCATAGTCAATTTGTCCGGAAGAGACAACTATTGTCTGGCACAGCCAACTTTTGTCTGGCTGTAAGACAAAGAGTAGTTAATTGGCCCAGACTACTAATGTCTGGCCCAGACAAAATTTTTCTGGCTGTAAGACATAGAGTAGTTAATTGGCACAGACTACTAATGTCTGGCCCAGACAAAATTTGTCTGGCTGTAAGACAAAGAGTAGTTAATTGGCCCAGACTACTAATGTCTGGCCCAGACAAAAGTTGTCTGGTTGTAAGACAGAGTAATTAATTGGCCCAGATTTTAAGACAAAATCGCGTTCACTTTAAGCTAGACAGACATTGCAGTTCTAAATTGTCTGTCCGCCAAACAAAATACAAACAAATCACAAAAAACAACATACTCTGCTCCAAGGTTTCAACGTCCACACCTTCATCATCTTCTTCCCTTGAGGTACAAAAAAATGGAAAAAAAGTCTTGAATTTCAACAAAAAATTCATTGAGTAATTTCTACAAACATGTTATGGGCATAAAATGAAATAGAGAAATTACACTAAAATTTTAATTAGGTAACACCTCAAAATCATTACAATGAAACAAAATAATCAATTATTCACTTTTATATCATACATAATATACATAGAATTGAAAAAAGGAAAAAATAAAAATAAAAAACACACATGAAGAAAAATAGTAAATGGAGTACGTAACTCATGATTTGAGAAGGGATGGTTACCTTAGACACAACTAAATGGGTAGGTCTTGAAAACTTCAAAAATGGAGATGAGAGCTCTTAGCTTGAAATGAAAAGAGAAGAAAAAATGGGGAATGGGGGTGAGAGAATAGAATGGGACGGATAAGAGAAACAAATGAGGGGATGTGGGATGAGAGATGTTTGGAAGGGGTAAAATAGATGGTAAAAAAGGGGTATTTATATGAGGTAGGAAATGGGGTAAAGTTGAGGGTACCTATAGCAAAATTGTGCAGAAAATGTGCCTTTCATGCCTTTCTTCCTAAACTTGACAATAATCCATGACTACTTTCTTGTTTAGGGGAGTGGGGTTCTTGAGATATTTCCAAACTAAGCAAATCCCTAACTTTCTACTTGCCTCCCCAATTTTATCCTGTGCACTCTGCTCAATCATACATTATGTGAAGCTACAGCGGGAAGTGTTTTTCTCCTTGGGCTTCAGAAGAGCTTCTCCTGTTATGAGTAATAATAATGAGCAGAAGATTTCACCCTTTACTTATAGGACAAATGCAGCTGGGCAAGAGGAGGTTGCTGAGTTATTTGTGGAAAAAATGCTTCCTCTCACAAATTTCAAGGTATTGATTTCTTTAGAGAAATTGTCCTAAATAGGAGTAAAAACGTTTTGAAATTCTAAAATAGAAGTGTCATGTTTTTATTCCCGAAACCGGAGTAATTATTGCCATGTTTCGGCATTACCAGACTTCAAACATGGCATTATTTTTTAAACTTGGCACCTGGTAGTAATTACTCCTATTTAGAATTCCAAACGTTTTTTTTTTACTTCTATTTTCAAGAATTTTTCCATTTCTTTTGGATTATTTTACATTTTGAGACGATCTTTCTTACTGCCCATTGTGGCTAACTGAAAAACCTGAGGTCTACATTTTGAGATCAGCAACCTAAACGGGATACGTTTCTTGGCCATCTTGTGGAAACTTACTATTTTAGGTAGCGATCACGCTCTGAAACTACGGAAGCAATACGCTGCTGCTGTTAGAAGGCATAATAATTTCTTGGGTACATGTACGAAATTAATGTATCTTGCATGTAAATGTTTATTTGTATTATTGTTAGGTTTATTATTGTTCAATTATTATGTACGTAGGGAATGCTCTTAACATGGGAGTTACCAACTATTGTATAAATATGGGAGTCCTCCCACATAATAAAAGCAAGGCTAATTCCTCAAACCCTTTTCTCACTTTAGCATGGTATCGGAGTCTTCCGTATAATACTATACGAAGTATCAATTTTTTTTTTCTCTTCTTTTCTTTTCCCAGCTTATATTTATCATCCCCCACAGACTTATCCCATGACTACCCCACGGATGAAGTCTCCACAACCACACACACCTCGATTATGGATGTTTGCCGGAAAATTAATGACCCATCTTCTCCATATTACCTTCACAATTCCGATTTTCCGGGTCTTAATATTTGTGGTGTCGCTCTTTGCGGAGAATCCAACTATCGTGAATGGGCAACCGCTATGAAAAATGCCTTCCGTGCAAAACGAAAGCTTGGTTTTTTGGATGGTTCCATCTCTCAACCCACGCCAAACGCCCACGACCTTGAAGATTGGTTCACCGTTCATTCCATGTTGGTAGGGTGGCTCATGTCATCCATCGACCCGCCCTTGCGTTCCAATGTCGCCTTTATGGATAATGCCCGCGACCTTTGGGATGATTTAAAAATCCGTTTTGATGTCGCCGACGCTATGCGCATGCATGAGCTAAAAGAGGCTATACGCACATGTCGGCAAGCCGGCCAATCTGTGACGATCTATTTTGGTCGCCTTAAAACTCTATGGGATGACTACGTTGCTTACCGAATATTGCCCCAATGCAAATGTGGTAAGTGTTCTTGCAATCTTGACAAAGAATTCCTTGAAAGTGTGGAGCTTGAAAAATCACATGAGTTTCTCATGGGTCTTGATGGAGAAATGTATGGTGTCCTACGTTCTAATATTGTGAGCATGACGACCCTTCCTGCACTCAACAAAATTTATCAAATGGTGGTTCAAGAAGAATGCCACCGGAATGTCACCCGTACTCAGGACACCCGCATGGATGATGTGACTTTTGCTATGCGCCCCAACTCTTCTATTAGTGTCATAAAGGATGGTGACAAAGAAAAGTTATTTTGCCATTTTTGTAAGAAAAATGGTCATGATATCAAACATTGCTTCAAAATATCTGGGAATTACCCCGATTGGTGGTATGGTAACAAAGGTGGCCGTGGTCGAGGGAACACTCTAGGACAGGGTCGTGGTAGAGGAGGACCACCTTCCTTGGGTGTTCATGCGGTTAAAGTTGAAGACATCCTTGGAGTTTCAACTCCAAACATTAACCGTGCATCTATGCCCATGCTCTCTGACACTCAGTGGAACAATTTTTTAAGCATGCTAAATGATAGTAAAAGGTCTTGTAAAACTGAAAAACTCACAGGTACACCTTCTTCCGTTGAGTGGTTACTCGACACAGAAGCATCTTTCCATATGACGGGTTCAACTATTTTTTTGACCGATTTAAAATCCATACCGCCTATTCCGGTTACCTTACTTAATGGAGAGGTTAATATGGCCACACATGTGGGTTGTCTTCAATTGGGACCAAGTTTAACTCTTCCGCATGTACTGCATGTCCCTGGCCTCACATGTCATTTACTGTCTGTGGGGCCGGGAGACTTATTGATGATTTAAATTGTCATATTACATTTACTAATAAGTTTTGTGGGATACATGACCTCAATTTGAGGACGCTGATTGGAGTGGGTGAACGGCGTGGTGGTGTCTACTACTTTGTTGGTGCAAATTTAATTCGGGCTCTCAGTGCAACAGCTTTGGATCCGTATCATCTGTGGCACCAACGACTGGGTCATGCTTCTTCTAAAGTTATTCGTCTGTTACCTGTTTTTCATACTGAAAAAGGCAATACTGCCATTGAAAATAAAATTTGTGATGCTTGTATGTGTGCCAAACAAGCTCGCACTGTTTTCCCTTTCAGTACTAGTCGGGCATCGGAACCATTTGAATTATTACACTGTGATGTTTGGGGCCGTACCGTGTGCCTTCCTCGTGTGGCTCTCATTATTTTCTCACAATTGTTGATGATTTCTCATGGGCCGTTTGAGTACATTTATTGGCTGCAAAAAGTGAAGTCCCGCTAATATTCAGAATTTTTTTTACCATGGTTCGCACCCAATTTCAAAAAATTATTAAAATTATTCGGAGCGACAATGGTATCGAAAACCATTGGTTCTCCATCTTGGGTTCATGACTGCCACAAAATGTACATAGCAGTACAACAGAAAGTGGAAAACCAAATAATCGATCTCTTAGCTTGACTCCGACAGCGGCAGGAGCTGTAATACCTACCAATGCAGGTTAGGTTCCGGCCTTTGGTTCTCCATCTTGGGTTCATGACTGCCACAGCTTTTCTCGTCATGATATGCACGTGCAGGTAGGTAATCTATTTATGTACACTTTATTTGTGTACGTAAAACAAAACCTCACAATAATGAACATTAAAATAATTTCTCAACTCATGGCCGGATGTACTTTCTTTCACACACATGCTTTGTCTTGAGGTCTTGAGTAGCTAGCAGCTGGTTGATGATATTTTTTGTTTCACGCACACACAGGTTGCAACCGGCCGCTTCTTATCGGCCAGCCCAGCCACTACTCTAGCTACTGGTTTGGTGAACAAGTGTGGCTTTGGGAAGAAGAGACATTTGGGTGTATTGTTGGCAGGGGCGGACCCATGAAAGTCATTTTGAGGGGGGGGGCGAAAATATTTTTGGGGGGTTCAAAAATTTTTTTTGAAAGAGCAAAAATCATTTTTCGTATATATATACACTAAAAAAAAAATTGTTGGGGGGCGGTAGCCCCCTGGGTCTCTACTACGGTCCGCCCATGATTGTTGGGCAGTTGGCACTCTTCTCTTCTCAAACTTCTACCCTTTCACTTAAAGCCTAAAAGGAAAAAACGAAGATATGATACATGTGACAAAAAAGGATGTACTACTCATACAGTTATTGGATGCATCATTTCGATACCACTGCTAAAGTGGTAAATCTAGAAAAATGATGTTTGTACACACTTTTGTACACACCTACGTCTGTGAAAGCTTTTTTTTGTCTGTGAACATCGATTCACAGACAATGTTTTGCACAAACAAAATATTGTCTGTGAACCGGATTCACAGACAAAAAAAAGCTTCACAAACATGGTGTGTACAAGGTGTGTACAAGGGTGTGTACAACAAGAATGGTTGTTAAATCTAACGTTTATAGTAAGAACCATAAAGTAACCTAGTGCTCAATATGATAATTTTCGATTTTCCCAAGGTGAGAGAACATATCTGGACAAAGTTTATGAATTAAGACAAAAACAGAACTATGACTGTAATTTCCCATGTTGATTACCATTAAGTTTTACCACTTTGGTATAGAGATGTTTGGAATTGATTTTGCTTCTGATTCCTTTTCAATATCAGAATTTGTTTTTCATAAGCTAGTCATAAGCTAGTCTCCCACAGCTTCTAAAAAACTGTTTCTATGAGCAATTTGGAACACACAGAAGTACTTCTATAGTTGCACCTAGACACTCCAACATTTGCTTATCCTTCTTAAAGAAATAAGAGTAGTTTTAAGAGGTAGATCCAAACACATCTATTAATATGCTTTTTTTTTTACAAAAAGAAAACCTTTTAGGAATTAAACTTGGAATATTTGGAGACCATTGACCACATTAGGGAAAACCATAAAATTAACATATTAGGACGAAACTTAAGTTTCAAAATACAATAGAGAACAATACTTGGCTCAAATTTGTAATCCATTAAGGAAAGTTTGGCTTTGGGTGAAATTTACCTTTGCACACCATTTTGATATACTTCGTACAATATATGAATCTAACACTGCCATAAACAATTTATAGACTAGCACAGCCTTAGCAAGAAAAGTCCAAGAAGACATTACATCATAGTAGGGCAAATTACCAAATTGATAAAAAGAAGATGGTTTACTAAATTGGTGAAAAAAATCAACTGAGACGTATTGATAAAAAAAGAAGTCCTAGTGATAAATTGATAAATATTTTGTGAGTGAAATACTTTTGGTCATCGACTTTATAGTTTCTGACATTTCATGTTCTTAGTATTGTGAAATTGATATTTGCGGTTGTTCTACTTTGATTTTGTCATCTAAAGTGGGGACTAAATGCCAATGGCCATGCTTGACAATAACAGTTGTCAATTAGCTAATAACCGGTGGAATCAACCAACCGCTTTCATTAGCGGTTTGCCATAAAATATTAGTAACTTAGTTGTTTAAAATAAGCTTTTAAGACGTAAAATGACCATTAAGTATATGAATATAAAATTTTATATATTTAACTTAATTTTATTTCTTTTATTTTTAATGTCTTGGGAAAAGTTTTACATTGTTTATTTACGCTTATTTTAAATAACTACTAACACTATCATTTTAACATATTTACATTAATGCGAACACACACATATAAATTCATACATTTTAGATATTGATATTGTTTATTTCTAACAATTTGTTTCAAACCACTAATGAAAGCGGTTAGTTAAAAATGCTAATGGAATCCGCTAGTACAATCTGCTGATTCAACCACCCATTAGCTAGCTGACAATTGCTATTATCAAGCACGACCATTGACATTTTAAATCCTTCTTTTTCTACGACAAAATCAAAGTAGGATCATTGGTTTGGTTTTCTCTAAATAGTTGCCTCCTAATTTCATTTCATTTATACCCCTAACTTAATTAATTAATTAATTAACCTAATTAATTGCCTCCTAGTTCCCTTGTATAAAAGAGTAGCTATCTTCAAGAATTCATTTGAATGCCTTCCTGATTGAAGTTTTAGTTCAAATTTGATATGAGTAAACTAGACTTAATGAATAAGATTCTCAAAAAAATTCATCAAAAAATTCTACCGGGAACCGCCCCAAATGGCGTCGGTCGGACATAGCATCCTAAATATGACCTTATTTGACATTTTTTCCCAAGTTCAAGGCGCTATCTGACCCTTATCCCAAAAAAAACTATGTTTTGATCCTATTTGAGGACTTCTCCCTTTATTTATTAACTCTAAGGTCTTTCAAAAAAAAAGTTTTAATGCCAATCAGCTTCAAAAAAAGCAAATGGCAAATCAATTTCAACTTGGAAAATAGTATTTATATACAAGATGTACACAACATGTACACAACTTGGCAAATTTCTTATTCTCGTTCTCACATTTTTTCCTCCTCTCCCTTTCCTCTTTTTCTTTCCTCTTTCCTCTATTCTTCTGTTCTTCATCCTCCTCTTCCCTTCTCCATCCTCCTACTTTTTTTATACCCCCTCCGTCCCTTAAAACTTTGTCAACTTTCCTTTTTTGAATGTCTCACTAACTTTACCACTTTCCATTCTCCTCTGCACAAACCTCAACCACACAGTTTTTTCTTTATTAATCCCCGTGCCGGTCAAGTTTGGTAAACGAAGGTAGTATTCGATTTTTCCATTACTTGCACATAACCATCATATTATTTATCTATTTTCATCTATTTTATTATCTTTTCAGTTTTTTTCTTCAAATTACATATAAATCGAGTCACATAGAACTATATCATTCATTTGCACGTATGTAGACCATTAAATATTTTGTTCACTGAGATAATTAAAATTGATCACAGAGACAATTAAAATAGATCACACAAACATGTATGTGAGCAATATAACTATTGTGTGTGCAATAAAACATGTGTGAACATAGAAAATTAAAAAAAGTTATGCTACAAAAACTTTTACGAAAAGTTTTACAAAAGGGGTACGTGACATCATCACATTATTTAATACATCACATCACATTTACAACACTTTTACATCAATGGTAATTACAATAGTCACATCACTTGTTTGTAAGTTTTTTTGTAAGTGTATTTTACTTGTAGCATTTTTCGATTAAAAAAGGTGCGAGATTATTGAGATCCATGCTAATGTCGAGGGGCTCTTCTTCCCGCCCGAGGGTCCTTTGCGCAAGGCACTCTATGTCTATCTGTCCCGGCAGAGGGTCTCAAAGGCTGTCCTTCTCTAAAAAAAAGGACAAAGCTCGTACAACTGTAAGTCGATGCGAGAGCTAAAGCAAATTCACGGTCTTATAATCAATCGCGAATATTTGGATTTTGTCCTAAATAAATGTGGAATGCATCTCTGCTGCGTCCAACTTCCATTTTGAAGTCTGCACTAACAACCATGCTCGACAACTGTAAGTCGATGCGAGAGCTAAAGCAAATTCACGGTCTTATAATCGCTTTAAACCTATCTCAAGATGAGCATTTCATGTCCAAACTACTTTCCTTCTTAGCGCTTTCTGATTCAGGTGACATCAATTACTCCTGCTGGGTTTTATCCTCTCTCGTAAACCCACAAATCTTTCATTGGAACACAGTCATTAGAGGGTGCTCGAAGAGTAAAAACCCAAACCGATCACTATCAGTTTTTATCAAAATGTTGAATGCTGGAGCCCTTCCTGACTACTTAACATTCCCGTTTCTAGTCAAGGCATCTTCTCGCATTGTAAAGCGAGAACTAGGCTGTTCTGTTCATGCTCATATTCTTAAACGTGGGTTTGAGTCTGATATCTTTGTTTCGAATTCTTTGATTCATATGTATGCATCTTTTGGACATATTATATTTGCCCGGAAGGTTTTTGATGGAATGCCCGTTAACAATTTGGTATCATGGAATTCCATGGTAGATGGCTATGCAAAATGTGGAGATATGGAATCAGCCCGCAAGCTGTTTGATTTAATGCCTGAAAGATGCGTCTTGTCATGGAGTTGTTTGATTGATGGTTACGTTAAAAATGGTGATTATGGTGATGCTCTGATTGTTTTTGATGAAATGTGTGCCTCTGGTTCCACTCCCAACGAAGTTACCATGGTGAGTGTATTATGTGCTTGTGCTCACTTAGGTGCACTTGACAAAGGAAGAACAATGCATCATTACGTGATTGATAATGGCTTGCCACTGACACTAATCCTACACACCTCTATTGTGGACATGTACGCCAAATGTGGAGCGATCTGCATGGCCATTGATGTGTTCCGTAGCTATCGGGCAGGACCCGGTGACGTATTACTTTGGAATACTATGCTTGGTGGACTTGCAACTCACGGTTTGGTCAACGAATCGCTCAATCTGTTCAAAGAAATGATTTCCACCCGTGTTAAGCCCGATGAGATCACCTATTTGAGCTTATTGCATGCTTGTGCTCATGGCGGGTTAGTAAACGAAGCTTGGTACTTCTTTGGTTGCCTTGGGGCACAACGAACAAACGTCACGATTGAGCACTATGCTTGTATGCTGGACGTAATGGCTCGTTCTGGTCAAACATTAGAGGCATACTGTTTCCTAAGTCAAATGCCGATAGAGCCAACTGCTTCCATGTTGGGTGCTCTACTGAACGGATGTATGAATTATGGGAAGTTAGAACTTGCGGAAATTGTGGGAAAGAAGCTGGTTGAGATGGAACCACACCATGATGGTAGGTATGTTGGCTTGGCAAATGTTTATGCTGCCAATCTACAGTGGGATGAAGCGAGAAGCATGAGACAAACTATGGAAAGGATGGGGGTCAGAAAATCTCCAGGTTATAGCTTTGTTGAGATTGATCAAACTCTTCATAGATTCATCGCACACGATAAATCTCATCCTAGTTATGAAGTTATATGCATGATGTTGAGTTTCATTGGTAGCCAAATGAGATCCTTTAAGAATCAAGAATTTTACTATTTGTTTGATCAATTTTAATCAAGCATATATTTATATGGTCTGGTGATATTAATCAAAGCCTACTGCGACCAGTTAAAATCTTTCGAGCCCAGCTCTTTACTGTGATTGGATGTAGAGCCTCCTACCGTCCTACGTGAGCTAAAGCTTCATTGAAAAGCCTTTTTTACATTTGACCTGTCGGCTCATACCAAAATTGTCCCAAGTTATTTAAAAATATCTATACAACATCCAAGCCTTAGTCCCAAAAGATATTGGGATCGTCTAACATGAATGGATACATGATATCACCACCAAAAGGAAAAGAAAGAAAATAAAGATAAAAAAGATAAGCTATTATAAAAAGAATATAAAAAGAGATGAATACACATAAAAATGATAAAATAAAAAGGATACAAATAATGTTTATATATAAGGATAAAAAACAAGGAAAAAAAGATGAGGGGAAAAGATAATAGCACGCTCCTTTCCCTTTATAGCACAAGCGAAGCGCCACGTTTCTTTACCCCTTTACACCGGCAGGCTGGCAGATTGATGGCACCGCCTACCCGCGGCCTACGACCCAACAATCTTCCCCCAGCACCTGCCAGCCTTTAGCTGCGCAGCATGCTGTCGCCGGGGGTCGAACCCGTGACCTTGGCTCTGATACCACTTGTGGATCGTTGCGCTTACCGCTACACTAAAAGCAATTGCTAATAGTGTAGCACGCTCCTTTCCCTTTATAGCACAAGCGAAGCGCCACGTTTCTTTACCCCTTTACACCGGCAGGCTGGCAGATTGCTGGCACCGCCTACCCGCGGCCTACGACCCAACAGGCATCAAGGCAGACGATGTTCTCTGTAACAAGAGGAAAGATATCAAACTCAAGAAAACAGAGTACTTCGTATAACTGTATAAGTGAGCTGTGAGGGACAATGTTCAGACTCGAAAGAAACTATTGATGAAAGACAACATGCGGCTCACAAGTGAGTGGGAGATTTCAATCCGGAGGGAAGTCTGGGCGAAGTTGCGAACTCTCTGCATCTTTCTTCACCCGCGGCTTCATCACCTCCCACTTCTTCAGTCTTCACCTGCGGCTATGTTTGGAGTGTCGAAAGTGTCGAATGACTCTCCTAGATAAACCTAACATGTAGCGACAGCAGATAAAGCTAAAACTAAAAAAAAAGTTGACTGGTCAAATGATCGTTTTTTGTGAAAAGCGATGAAAAGCGAATGCTTTTCTCCCAAGCGAGCTCCGGAAAAGCGACGGTAAAGCGTCGCTTTCTCACGCACAGACGCTTCTCAAAAGCCACGCGCAGATGATGAGCTCGCATGCGCTTTGTCGCTTAATGGCGCTTTTGAGCGCTTTTAATAAGTTTGGTATGGCCACACATTTAACGCAGCATGCGCATCTCTGCCACACTCATCTTTTGAATGTGACATTGTTTCACCGCCCAACACTCTACGCCATACAGTAATGCAGGCCTAATTGCTGTCCTATAAAATTTACCCTTCAGTCTAGTCGGCATACTTCGATCGCATAGAAATTCTGACGCACTCTTCCACTTGATCCACCATGTTCTGATTCTATGGGATACATCTCCATCTAACTCACCGTCCTTCTGAATTATGGAGCCCAAGTAACGGAACATATAAAGCTTAATCGCTAGCCATCCTCTTCACTCTCCTCGCTTTCCTCACTCAACACTCAAGCTGCATATTAGTATCATAGTACTCTGCTTTGTGATTTCTAGTATATTACTATGCATATAATACTCAGCCTCATAGTACTCTGCTTTGTGATTTTTAGTATATTAGTATGCATATAATACTCATAGTATTCTGCTTTTTTATTTTTTAGTATATTACTATGTATATAATACTCATACTCTCATAGTACTCTGCTTTGTAATATACATATATAGTACTCTACATTGTATTTTTTTTTAACCCCCGGAAGGCAAGTACTCTACATTGTATATAATACTAATATACATACTAAAGATATATGTTCTTATATGTTCTTAACTTGAAATATATTACTTTAATATATGTAGTTATGTAGTAAAGATATATGTTCTTAACTTTAAATATATTAAAGTTATATGTACCTAATGTTTTATCCTTTGTTCCATAAAAATTGCAACAATTTGACTTTCACGTTTGCCAACACGCAACTTTGACTGTAATTATATTTATTTACGTATTAGTAAACATTAAAAAAAGTTAATATATTGGAAATTTACATTAATACAAATTTATTAATACTTTATACATAATATTTTTATTATATATATTATTAGAAAATCGTAGTCAAAGTAAGGTGTGTGAATAGTGCAGAAATTCCAATGTTGTAACTTTTATGGAACGGAGGAAGTATGTTCTTAACTTTAAATATATTAAAGTGGTATGTACTAAAGATGTATGTTCTTAACTTTATATATCAAATTGATTCCATATAGTAACTTTATGTATCAATTGACAAACTGATTCCATTATATATGTAGTGAAGATATATATCTTAACTTTATATGTACTAAAGATATATGTTTTTTTAATATATGTTTATTTATGGTTTCCCGTGTATTAACTAATTCCAGCTTTGATCTTTTAGTTTTAGTTTTAGTATTAATGCCATGAATTCTAAATTTGGACTTCTATTTTTGTGAATCATGACTTTATTTTGGTGAATCCTAGCTTTTTTATGCATTTGGTTCAATATGATGTTACATACATCATTTTTGGTAATTATATAAGTAATGTGCTTCACTCGAGTCAGGTGAGCGCTTTTTTGCGCTTTGCGCCTCAGGCGCTAGAAGACTCCTAACGTTTCAGGTGCGCCTTACGACTTTGACAACCTTGCACCATGGTATATCGTCTTGAATTGACTTCGTAAGTTCATCCATGACTATGGCAAATAAGAAAGGGCTCAGAGCCGATCCTTGGTGCACTCTGATAGTAATAGGGAACTCTTCAGTCCTCCCTACTAGGGGTGGGTTCGGTTCTTTCGGTTCGGTTTTGACCTCAAACCAAATACGGAACCAAAGTAAAAGTTCGGTTCGGTTTCGATTCGGTTTTACACTCCAAAACTTCAAACCACGGTTTGATTGATTCGGTTTGTTTCGGTTTCGATTTTTTCGGTTTTTTACTAAATATATGTCATTTAATGTAAAATTGATATAAAAGTTGGAGGGATCAAACATATTACATAAAAATGCAAGCATACTTGAACAAATGAAGAAAATAATAATAAACAAATATGTCTTGAATTATATGAGTATGCGGGAGAGATAAAAGTGTGTATCTATTCTTAATTTACAATGTTTGTGACTAGTTTGAAAAACGTTTATGAATAGATACATCCTGTGTGATTTAGCCGAGATGAATATTTATTTGTTTTATCAATATAAAAAGTTAAGTTACAAAAAAGACTTAAGTTACATAAAAATAAAAGTTAATTACTACTAATAACTAGTAAAAACATATAATCATTCAACAAATTGCAACATACATACATAAAATACATAATAGATCAATATAGCTACATTATTATGGGCAATGAATGTGTAAATGCATTTATAAACTAAACTAAACATAGCATAAACATTATTTCTCTAGCACAAGAAATTCAAAGATTATTGATGATGTTAAGATTAATGCTTTACATTTAACAAATAAAATTTCATATTTTATTTATGTTCGGTTTATTCGGTTCGGTTCGGTTTTGAAGGGTAAAAACCAAAACCGAACCAAACTATTACGGTTTCGGTTTTTAGCGGTTCGGTTTTTTTTTTGTTGCGGTTCGGTTTAATTTGATTCGGTTTTCGGTTTTTTGGACCCAGCCCTACTCCCTACACTAGTACGGACACTTGTAGCACAATCCTCATACATATCCATGATGATGCTGATATACTTGCGTGTTATGCCCTTTCTAGTTAAGGTCCACCAAAGAAATTCTCGAGGTACCCTTTAAATTTAAAAATATCTATACTACATTAAAAAAAAATGCACGCCCTTTAATGCAATTTTACATTTTTTGCCAAATGAGTTGACTTCATTGAGCTAGTATTTTAGTTCCATAAACCCAACATGTAGCTCCAACACAGTAGCACCCATTCCGGTCAGTCGGCCAAAATCTTGGTGTTTGTCTTCGTTCAACTCTAGCTCATTGTCCCAAAGGTTAAATACCCAGAAAAGAGGGAGATGTGCTTGCATAAAATAGAACTCTGTAAAAATATATTATCCATTAACCTAAGTTCTTGAATTTGTTTGGAGATGGGTAGTGTGTAGTATACCCAATCATATCAGACTTGGATAATTATAAAATACACAGAGACCAAACATTTACCAAACAAGATCAATTTAGACCAGACCAGATCAGACCGGACTAGCAAATTTCAGTCCAAAAGAAAACATCATTACAAGAAACCACCACATGCTTTCTTCTTACATACGTTGTAAGTATATAGGTAATGTATAAACAAACCTGTGTGTGGATGAAGTAATTTGCTCAACAAGCTTTATAAAAAACAATTGTGAATGTTTTCTTGTGATTCTATGGATAAGATCGAGGATCATCTCTATTGTTTAGTAAACTGCCTATATGCATTTCTAAGTCTAGTGTTGTGAAAAAACGTTACACTGCTGAGCAAAAACTGGTTCTCTGAGCTACCAAACAAAACAAGAGAGAATTAAAAAAAAACACATGATTAATACTCCATGATGTGATCGTTTCTAGCTACATGTAGTTAAAAGGCTTTTGTTCACGGGCACATCGGGTCAAAAGGCTGAGTTTGTGTCAATGTTTTTTTCACCGTTTTTTCCCATTCAACTCTTATTAACAAATAAAAAATGCTATAGGTACACTAGTACACTACACACTTTTTTTTGGTACACCAGAAAGTAAAATAACGTTAAATTAGAATGTAATAGTTTCTAAGCCATTTGCATCCTCCCAGGGAGAGCGTCTAATGACTCTAATCCAAGTAGGAGCCTCTTGAAGAATAGACAACCCCTTTGAAGCTTGACAAGATGTATTCGCCAATATGTTTGGGCATTTGTTTCCTTCCCGAAAAGTGTGTTGTAGGTTAATAAATTTCTCTTCCGCCAATAGCTTCTGACAATCCCGCACCAGCACACCCATAATAGTAGCACTCGACCCATCTCTATTTTTCAGAGCTTGAAGCATCTCTCTCTGTCAGTTTCTACAATTACCTTCTTAAGATCAAGATCCCGAGCTAAAAGAAGCCCTTGTCTTAAACCCCACAAGTCTGCCTTAAAGCTATCAGTTTTTCCAATATTAAACATAAAACCACTCGCCTATTAAACCACCAGCCCCGAGCATCTTATCCCTAACTTGGCAAGACCCATCACAGTTGAATCCATTTAATATGTTTAGCTACTTTTTCGTTGTTTGATTTTTTTTTTTTGGATAAAATGTAAAGTATATATATCCAGAAAAATAGCATAGTACAATGCATCACGATTACAATCAAAGTGCATATCCTGGTACTTGGGATACCACAAAATCAGTAGAAATCCTCAAAAGTCAACAATTTGAATCTAAAAACATTAGGATCAACTAAACTCAACAACCTAGCTCATCAAAATATTAGTTATCCCTAATTTAACATCCAAAGAAAGCACGGAAAGGAGTAGTGAACTTTGAGTCAAAGCAAAGCTCCCCTTTCTTCTTAGTAACCCCCGGTAACCTCTCAAGACAATAGGCGGTGAATGTTAGGCCCTTCTTATCCAAGTCATCTGTAAGTGTAAGAGAGGTATCCACTCTAATGACACTAGTACGAATGTATCTAAACGGTTTGACAAGCAGCTTGCTTATCTTACCATTTATGACCTCACACTTGGTGACAACATCATCCTGTTTCAAGTCACTTTTATCCCTCACAACCCTCCCCAAAGATTCTCCCTGGGCACCCATCTTCTCACTCAAGGCAGCAGCAGACCCCTGGGTAACATTCTGCCCAGCAGGCCCGATCGGGTCAGTGGGGTCCCCGAGCGGGTAAGGAGCAGTCCCCAATTCCTGGGCAGCAGGTGTAATCTCTTTGGCAGCAGTTGTAAGCTCTTTGACAGCAGGTGTAAGCTCCTGGGCAGCAGGTTTCCCATCTTTGTCAATGTTTTCAATGCAATCAACAACCTGTTTTCCCTTTTCATTGTTCCCCTCATCACCCCGTTTAGCAAGTTTATCACAAATAAATGGGTGATGCCCAAATTCTTTGCAATGAAAGCAATAATGAGGAAAGGTTTCATATACCACACTTTGTTTGATTACCTTTCGGGAAGGTAGTCGTATAGGAAAAGATAGCGGTGGTGGCTTTGAAACGTCAACCTCTATTAACACTCTAGCATAGTCATTCTTCGCTCTCTCTTGGGTGATCTTGTCCGTAGTTATTGGGACCCCGACCATGGATGCCACCTCACTCATCGCCTCATCATTCCATAAACTCATAGGTAGTTTAGGGAACTTGATCCAAATTGGTATTTTTAGAAACTCCTCATCCTCGAAAGAGAAATCCTCCGAGAGTTCCTTAAGCATTAAGAGTTTCCCAAACACGGTGTAAGGCCCCTCATGTAGTACTTTTGATCTATCCTCCTCGTTTTGAAATTTAAAAATTATCCAATCCCTATTATGGGACCTCACAAGGCATCTTATTCCCCATTTAGCTTTCATGTCATAAACCGCTTTAAGTCCGGGGAACCTACCCGTGAAGTGTCCAACTAGACAATAGCCCCACATTTCAACCATCGAGGGTAACACCCGATCACCAAAGTCTAATGTTTCACCTTTAGGTGGGACATATCTCAGCTTGATACCATTTCTTGGATCCCGGTTATCCTGAAACAAAGATTTCCATGGTTTTGCCTTCTGAATAAGCTCTGCCTGCACATTCTCAGTTTTATCTGCCAACATTATGGCCCTATCATCAATTCTCCTAGCAGCAGGTTCTTTAGCAGCATGAGGTTTTGCTGCCAAGTCTGGTGTTTTAGCAGTACCGTCCAGTGTTGCTTCTTGAGTAGGAATAGCCTTTTTTGTTGCAACCCCACTTTTCCCAGCCTTTCTGTTAAACCCAGCAACCTCACTTACTGGTTGATTGCCCGTTTCTAGCTCAACATGTGGTACAGGTAGTTCAATCTTAGCAGGTTGTGTCAATTCAGATGCTGGAACAATCCCAGACCTATTCACAGCAGAGCTAAGTTCTGGGAATTCGTTATCTGTATCTTCAAGCAGTGCAAACCTCGGAGATGACCTGGTGTTTCTCGTTGTTGAGGAAGCCACATTACCCTGTTTGTTCCTCGCCATATGGTTACAGGAACAGAGCAGAGTGTACTGCAGACTGTCTTTTTCTCTTTTTCGTCGTTGTTTGATTTGAGTATAAGGGAGAACATCAATTATACTCTTCAACCAAGAATTGGTAAGCTTCACAAGGCAGTGTACATCAGGTTGAATGTCATCGAATATCATTGCATTCCGTGTCTTCCAAATCAACCAAGCTGTGTAAGCAAATGTAACAACATGAAGAATTGTCCCGAATGCCCATAGTGCTATGACAATGGCTACGAACCCACCCGAAACTGTTTAAGCTTTCTTCCCCCGTTCTATTTAACCCCAGGGCAGTTTTCCTCCAAACGGATGACGCAAAAGAGCAGTCTCTGAGTATGCAACACGGTTTCTTCTGCATTGTTACATATTGGACAGCATGTATCATCAGCCATATGCATCTTCCCCCTTTCCACATTGGTAGGCAATTTGTTTTTCATTACCAACCACAAGAAACATTTAACCTTTTCTGCCACTTGAATCTTCCAAACCCAACTGCAATCTTCATTTTCCTGCATAGACAAAAGAGATTCATAGGCTGATTTAACACAGAATTGACCTGTTTGTGAAAGCCTCCAGAATATGCCATTTGTACACTCCACTAGAATCGGAACAGCCCTCACATCCCTGACCATGTCCTTCGGAAGTAAAGTTTCCAGTGTAGTAACATTCCAAGCACCATCATTCATGATGAGATCTGCCACTTTCAGTCTACTAACAAACACCGGAAGTGGGGATCCAAGTTCCACTTTAAGTCTACTAGCAAACAACGAAGTGGGGATCCAAGTTCCTCATGTAAAGGCCTATCCCTCGCCCAAAGGTCAAACCATAAGGATATGTCTCTGCCATTTCCCACCTGCCAACCCATCCATTTCCCACCTGCCAACCCATCCAATATTAAGAATGCTCTTAGTATGCATAATATCACGCCATATATGTGATGTGCCTGGTTTCCAGTTTTTTGTTTTCTAAATCAGAAAACATGTTTACCAGAGTTTTTCAATTTTCCATTTCATTTTTACCAGGAAACGTTAAGTTAATATTTGGAAAAGAAATGCACAATTACAAACATTTGAAATAACACAAAATTTAACGTAAATGTTCCTCAACACTGAAATTTGAATAATTGAGATTATGTTAATCAGAATAGCAGCCGTACTTCGACATCTCATACATTGTAATCATCCCATATTGCATTCGCAATACTTTCTCGAATTTCATGCATTTGTTGTTCTTGAGACGTATCAAATTCGAGTGATCCATTTTCACTTGTACTTGCCGCCGTGTCAAATATCATTTCCTCTTCCTCGTACTCCATGAACAAACGGTCATTCTTATCTTGCATGCGAATGAAATTATGCAATGCACAACAAGCTATGGGAATTTGAAAAGTTTCCAGTAGATGTGGTGCTAACATCTTCATCTCGTGTACGACGCCTCTTTTCTTTTTCACTCATTGTTGTCGTGTACGCGTGGACCGCATTAGCCAAAACACTCTTCCAGTCCTTAGTGCTGGATCCCATCGCTTCATCAATTTTGCGTTTCCCTTTTGAGTGTGATCTCTCTGAACTCATGCCTCCTTCACCGTTTAAGAATACCTCCTCATTTCTTCTTTCCTCGTCTGGGAGTGTCGGTACTTGGGTCGAAGGAGTAGCGAGTCCTCCACTTGCACTCCTTTTCCAAAAACAAGATTCATTAACGGACAGGTCTTGCAACCCTTCCTTTTAAAGGTCTTAAAGCCCCTGTTCATCTGCATATTTGTAGTACACATATGTCAATTAAAGAGCTTAGTAAAATATGATTCAAAAAAATAAAATCATTAGATAAAACATGTACCTTGTAAAATTTCTGTCAACATTCCTCTGTGGCATAAACAACATTCCGACTGGAATCATATGTAACTCCTATATGAGCCAATAACTGACCAAATTGTCCATGTATGAGCTTCAACCTAGTGTAATTTCCCGTAGCCTGTCACTACCATATTGATAACGACTCTTATTGCTTCTTTAGTTTAGCAGAGAACCACAACATTGAAATAAAAGTATAAAACCAGAAAAGCAGTGGTTGGAGGTTAAAATATAGTATCAAAGGGAAGGAGCTGAAAACCTACTACTTATTTCAATTCTCTTCCTAAGCAAACATTAATCAGGAAAAAGCTGAAAAAACAGACTTCTTAAGCAATGAAAAAGGAATTCTTAAGCTATGAAAACAGGCTTTTTAAGCAAAGAAAACTGACTTTTTAAGCAAGGAACCATGCAAACCCATAGTTGTTATTTTTTATGCTTTATTTACACAGATCTTTAAAACACTTCAGTAACCAGGCACTTATTTCTCATGCTTTATTTACACAGATCTTCTGCCCTTCAAGCAGCGTGTTATTAAAAGATGATATAGCAGATTCGACATCGTTGTCTGCAGAAAACGTGACAAACCCATACCCACTTGATTTTGAAGTCCCTGGAGCTCGGCATACCTTACCACTGACAACCTTCATCCCTTTCTATTGTATAAAGTTGTTCAACATGCATTTTTTATGGATTTTGGATTACGAACCATAAGATACACTCCCCACCCAGCCCCTCTCTTTCAACCCAAATCAACTATCAACAACAATAGAAGCCTAATCCCATACATATCACAATGTCTAATCAAAACATGACCAAACAAACATACTTGGCTCTCCTCTATCTTCTGTTCAATTGATGATACATCACTTTCATGTTGATCTTGTCATTGTGAAGTCTATCCATAACTATTCAATTTTCTTCCTAAGCAATAATTAACAAGAAAATTGTTGGAAAAACTCCTAATATAGATACATATATAGCTATATACAACTGCAAAAAATAGATCAAAAAAGGAATAAAATAGCCAGAAATTAAAAACATTGAAGCTCAATTGCCTTTCTGGTTTACAATTGAATTCGAATTTTTGACAATGTAAAGTGAAAATGCCAATTAATTTGAGAGCTTACCTTGAACTAGTTGACAGAACACGAGCCGACTGAAGAATTGGGAAATTCCGTGATGGCAGGGTGCAGCTCTAACGTGAGTTTTCTCGCACTTAAATTAATAGTAGAATAGTGGTGAAAGTACGAGTATCGTCTCCACAGGGACGGACAAAAGGGAATTAAAGATTAACTAAATTCAGCGATTGAAAATAAAATAAAATAAATGCGTCGTGCGAGATTGATTGGTTGAATGGAAATTAAACTAATGTGAACGAGCGAATAAAAATAAAAATTTGGGTTCTTCTTGATTAACGACGAAGGGAACATGGATTGATTCCGAGGTAATCAGATTTCTGACAGATCAGGAATACTTACATGAATTTCATTTAATTGAGCCTAGTTAATCAATACTAAGTTCTTACCGCTCTCGCGGCGTAGAGTACAATAATTTAGGGGACCAAGCTGATATCTCATTCGACAGGATCCTAAATTATTGCCAAAATGAACGAGCTTACGGCCCCTTAATCGCTACTAATCTCTTAGCGAACGATTAAGTGTGCGTGAATGTGTCCTAGAACAAATTAGATCTCTCTTAATTTATTCTATGCGCAATTGTAATTCTAGTGGTCATTCTAGGTTACAAAAGATATCAGTTAAATTGTTCAAACACAAATTAAACGACATTCATGCAATTAAACCATCAAGAAACTAGCCATACATCATGATAAACCTCTTCATCAAACTCAAATCCCTAATTAAAACTACTCCCAACTCATAATTGAAAAATCAATAGAATTGGGAAGAATAGAAATTTCATTTTCATTTTCATTTACCCCAGTGCCGCTATTGGGAAGAATAGAAATAATTGTCATTAATTAAAAAGTAGGAACTTACAAAGAATCTTAAAAAATAGAAAAAATCAAGGCTAAAAAGCTCTCAAATTCGTCCTTAAGCTCTCTCTAAGTCTCATCCCCCTTTAATTAGGGTTATGGGGTGATATTTATAGGAAACAAGGCAATTTGGGCTGAATTATGAAAGAATTCGGGCACTCAACGCATGTGTGGCGTCCGTGCATCCGACAGACTTGCGCGTAAAAACGTTGGACGCACGTGTGCGTCCCCCCACGCACGCGTGCTTGACTTCCAGTGAGTTTTCCGGCTTCTCTAGTCCGAATTTGACAAAATTTCCTTCATGAAAGTTGTAGATAATAGATAATGAAGTCCTCTATCCACCACAACTTGCCGAATTGGATTTGGATCATCCCATCAAAGGATATGAATAAAATGATGGAAGGTCGCATTCTGAAATCGCAACAGCGATTATCTGACTTCATGGTCTGTTTTCACCTTCTTCCTATCAGATTCTCGCAATGGTGTCTTCATATGATTTGTAGCCCTCGAAGTTGGCTTTCAGTTGAGACTTGGATCGTGTCCTTTGGATGCTTCTACAAAGAGATATGCTTGAACGATTGCCAAAAGGTCATTCTGATCACCATTTTCAAGCTCTATTCGTCTTCTTTTGATCTTATAGCCAATGCTAGAGCTCTTTTATCATCAAATCTTCATTGTGAACCTCCCGGTGACCTCCAAAGCTCTCAATTCACTCTTGAATGCTTCTCTAATCATTCCGTTTGCTTCTCAAGCGCCGGTGCTGGGCTCAAATTCCTCAATTTTGACTCCAAAAGACATAAAACTCGAACCAACGCCTGTTAACATAACTTGAGCTAAAATTGAGACTTGTAACACCTTAAAGCTAGGAAAACCATCACAAGTCGATCCCAAACACGCATCAAATGCGTGTCTAAATATGGACTTATCAGATTCCCCCACACTTAAGCCTATGCTTGTCCTCAAGCAAACTAAACAACGAGACTTACGATAATCACCACACGGAATTAAAATAATTAGCATGCACATGTAGTTAAAGGGATATTCACAGAACAGACAAACTAAACCAAGAAAATTATTCCCTAAATTACATCTTTGTACTCTAGCTAAAATATTTGACAAAATTATTCACAACATCCTCAAAGTAGTGTCAGCAAGCTCTAATAAACTAGCTACCGATCAGAAGGACTTGTGAAGGCAGTGATGAATGGTGAATGATAATAAACAGTCCCTTTTTTGAGAGTTTGGAACATCCTAACAGAGACTTGATGCGATCAGGAACTTCGAGGCTATTCATTATGGTCAAGGAACTCAGTAGGCCACAATTTAGGAACAATCATCTAAACCTATGCAAAGAGTAGACATGGTGTACAACTAAGCTAAACCGTCGCTGCACATCGGTGCCTTGACGTATACTTGAAGTACGCGAAGGACTAATGCTAATTTTGCAATAGCCTCCAAGTTCAATTAATTAAGATCAGTTTTCCTTGTCATGTTGGCAAGAGAATGCCATTTCTTTCGAAAGATCCCCAAGTCTCATCTTATTGTGCAGAACACTTACGCTTTTTGACCGGGTCTCCCATTCTCTTTTTCGCAAGGTAAGAGGTCTAGCTATTCAATACTATATTTCAATTTTCAGAGTTTGACTAGACATTACCTCATTCTAATCTCGGCCTCACTAAGGAAAATTAGCAATTAAGGTTCAATTATTCAAAGTGAATCCATGCCTACAATGCAATCCTCGAAAGTATCAAATTCCTAAAAAGGGACTGCTCTTACCCCGCTTGGGGCATAGGAACAGTGCCAACGGTGGCTCCTACACAAATTCCCCAAACTTAGCAAATTAATCCCCTAGTTCCCTAAACAACAAGACTAAGTCAGAAATATTCACTGGGTAAGAAAACAGGTCATTTGGCTATGAAGCTCAATTAGTCGGGTAAAGAACAAAAATGGTTAGGCTCAAAGTGGCTTCTCCTAAAGGACTTATTCAGGTCAGGTGGATGATTTGTGAAACAATTCAATAGGTGACTAATTCCTTCATCCTCTCAAAAACTAGGTTATAGTGCAAGCATTTTAAGCCTAAACACTTCAGAGATGTCCTAAAAGCATAGTCAAAACGCTAGTCAGCTCACAAAGACATAGTTTAGAGAAAAATTTTCAAAAATTTGACATAACTTTTCTATGAATATAAAACTAACACCTGCGCATGCTGATTCTAAAAAAATCACATGTAACAACTACTCCTCGGATGCCCAATTCACGCCCCCACACTTAAACTTTGGCATCGCCCTCGATGACCAAGTATGCACTATGCACAAGGGGGTAAAGGGAAAGGGTCACGCGTGCTCAATCTCAACTCAAGTCAACATTACACATAGGCGTTTATAAGAGTTGCAAAAACTTCCCTAAGGCACTGGTCAGTGGAGAATCAAAACTGAGTCAAATGATCCTCGGCACATCATCCCCAAAGCAAGACTCTAGCTTCAAAACAAACACAAAAACACAAAAAAAACACACAAAAACAAAGAAACACGCAAAAACACAAGCGCAGAAATAAGCTTGGGTTGCCTCCCAAGAAGCGCTATTTTTAACGTCGTTTGCCCGACGTAACCACCTCATCAAAAACTCAGTCAAAGACACTCCCGCTCAGAAAACTAGTCTTCCAGAAATCAAACCACCTATCAACAAATGCCCTGAGATGGCATAAGACCTTAAATTCATGAAAACAATAGTGCATCTCAGGGCCACTCCTAAAGCACAAGAATGAGTCTAAGCCTTTATCAGGCCCTTTATCAACGAACGAGTCAAAATCATTCTCTTTAAGAGATGGGGGTTTCCCCTCCTCCTCTCTGGTGGGATCAATGACATCCAACAAAAAATACTCATTGACATCTTGACAAGACTGTTTAGCCAGTTTGGCCATGCAAAAAGTAACTCTCTCCTCCCCAACTCTCAAAATCAATTTCCTTTCCCCAACATCTATGAGGGCCCGGGCAGTGGCCAGAAAAAGCCTTCCAAGAATTAAGGGCACATCAAGATCTTGGGGCATATCCAAAACAATGAAATCAACAGGAATAACAAACTTGTCCACTTTAACCAACACGTCTTCATCAATTCCCTAGGGATATTTGATTGATCGGTCAGCCAGTTGTATGCACATAGGTGTTGGTTTAAGCGGATCAAGTGCAAGCTTCTCATACAAGTTATAGGGCATCAAATTGATGCTTGCACCCAAATCAGCTAAATCATTATAAAAAATCTCACTTCCTATGGAGCAAGGGATAGTAAACTTACTTGGGTCCTTGAGCTTTTAAGGCATCTCCTTTAGCACCACTGCCGAGCACTCTTCATTCAGCACCACTGATTTTGGTTCTCCCCACTTTCTTTTGTTAGATAGGAGCTCTTTCATAAACTTGGCGTACTTTGGCATTTGTTGCAGCGCCTCCATGAATGGTACATTTAGTTGAACCTGTTTGAAGAGTTTCACAAACTTGTTGAAGTCCTCAGTGTCACTCTTCCCCTTTAATCGTTGCGGGAATGGGATGGGTGGTTTGTAAGCTTTGACTGGAATGGATTGCTGTGGTATTGCCTCCACATCTTCCTTCATCTCTTCTTCCTTCTCCTTCTCATGGCCAATATCAGCAGGTACAACCTCCGCAGACTTATTCTCTATGGCAGCAGGTTCAAGGTCCCTTCCACTTCTTAGCGTGATGACATGCACTTGCTCTCTTGGGTTTGGCTCGGTATTACTAAGGAGGGATCCCTGAGACCTCTCATATATGGATTTTGCAAGGTGCCCCAGTTGATTTTACATGTTCTGCATCCTTGTCTCAGAAGTTTGTATAATACGTTTGAGGGTTTCCTCCAAGCTAGCAAACTTTTGTTCAGTCTCTC